GTAGTTTTTATAAAGTTATTATGTTTTAATATTTTTATGACCAGAGTTTATAGATCTTATAAAAAAAACACAATCCATTGTCAGATTATCAACTAGATAGTTGTAATAATTTGTAAATATTTAAATAATTATTTCTCGAAATTAAGTGCAATTATAACTATTTTGTTTAAAAATGATATTTTACATTTTGAAAGAATGCTTTTATAATTTAAAGGTGTCTTTATTATACAAATAATAATAATAATAATATACAAGTACATTTTTGCTGGATTCATCGGTTTCCAATTTTGTAAAAATTATTGTTATTTATCTATATAGTATTCAATGTAGCATTACATTTATCATATATTTTTATATCCTTTATTTGTACTAAAAACCAAAAAATTCTATTGCACCTCTAATTACTATTCGTATTTTAACATTCAACTTCGTTTTGAGGAATGTGTTTGTTTTTAACTATTACACCATTCGAAAATTCATATAAAGCGATTAATTAGTTCATTGTATGATTATCTATAATCTGCTTTATACTACCATTTTTAAAATAGAGAAATAACTGAAAATACTTTTTCATAAATAATATTCCAATATGACTGAAAAATGTTTCGTTCCTTTTTATTTAATGACTATGTAATTATAAAATTGATTAATAATGGTGCATTGAGAATTCTCTGGCTAATAGTATTATGGGTCAGCGTTTCCCAATTTCTTTTATCTATATGGATCGTATCTACTTTAAGTAAACTTTGTTTAAGATTAAAAGACAGTTGTACTCTCTAAATTTATCTATTCTTTCGTCTACGGAGTTAAATTACGTATGAAATATGGCCTTTATATATTATCCTTTTAATTTTTATGAAACAAAGAACACGATCCATGGAGTGTAAACATTAAGAAACGCTGATAATTGTATTGAAGTAACCAATTTCTTCCTTACTCCAAAGCGTTTTATATCGAGCCCTGCATTCTGAATGGCCCCTGTTAAAACAAATCGTTGGAAAATGTAGCTGATACATATATGTGTGAACTAAACAATGGAAATATGATGATACCAAATGCTTACTTTGACAATAAGCCTATTTGACAATGTTATTTATTAGTATTGCGTTAAAAAACGTATGCTCTAACTATAATGAAAAACGCATACGCCTTGTTTTTTTCTTTCTGCTCATTTTTAAACCTAAATTCAGTATCTTGACTATAAATGCTTTTATTATTTCACACTGAATGAAGAATGAATAAATATATTACTGCTAGCTAAAATTCGCTTTGTTATAAAAAAATTACTAAAAATATTTGTTTCAAATTATGTATTATCTGCTTACAGGATTCATTTCATTTCAAACTTTAGACATTTTACTAATAAAACGTGTACTCTATGATCAATAAAATTTCAACATTCGATTTAATTCAATTATAAATGTTTAATTCATTCAAATAAAGTTTATTGCCAAAATATATTTGCTCTTTTGTAATATTAAAACGTGTGTGTTCTCTTTAAAAAATAACTATTTTTTAACAAAGTTATTTTAGTTACAACTGTTACGTTTCTTTTGTTTTCAATTACAACTAAAAGAAACAAATATGACACAATATTATAAACCTTCTTATACGAACGAATTTAGTGAGTATAAACATATACATAGAGCACTGCTCAATACTAGCACATACACCTCGAAAGAACAGTCTATTGCTTTCTTTCCAAAATCTGTGTACTGCTTTTAAATATGAGCTAATTTATCTTGCACATTAGTTCTCACCAAAATACAATACTTAACATTAATGGTACGGATGCCAAGAGAAAGAATCTGACAAACTTATTATATTTGTATTAATTATTACTGCGGTAAAGTAATACAATTTGTTAAAATACTAATACCCTAATTTATATTATATCATGGAATGCAAATCAAACGTTGACATAGAAACAGAGCGATAGAATAACGTATACCATCGTTACTCTACTTTTAATCGCTATGTAAATATGAAGCTTGTAGAAAAGAAAGAATTGAATTATGTTGAAATATTCGTTTTGTTTAGTTAATAGCAAATATTGATAAATATGTATATCATTCTTATTCTACATCTTATTATCAAAAGGAAACGAAATAAGACGCACATAGAACACTGTCTGGCTCTTTTCTCTGTGACCTAATTCTAGTTCTGCGTAATCCGATCGCTTAACTGGTAAAAAATATTGGCAGATATAATGCTGTTACGTTATTAGTAACATTGTTTCTATTTTCTTCCTTTTTCTCTCTCTTTCTTTTGAGCTCATGATATCAAACCCAGTAGCTTACCATTTGTGCGTACAGAACAACTCCATTTATGTATGTATAAGTGTACGTTTGTACATCTAATGCGTTTCAATCGAAGTTAAAGCACAAAAAAATACACAATGTCAGAAGTTGCACCTTTTTTCTCCTTTTCATCTTTTTCGAAAAAAGAAAAGTCGACTGATATGCATAAAAAGTTGACTCAAATGGAAGACGATTATTAAAAAAAGAAAAAAAAAGAACTGACTGTCACTATGAATATTTTTTAAAAATGAGATTGATAGCAAAAATTTATCAAAGGAATATTTCTGTGCTGTATAAAGTCATTAATGTAAGTGCTTTGAATGTTTACTCACATATATCAGTGGGATTATATGTATAAATATCATGTGTGATACATATTACATAGCATGGATAACAACCAGTGATGAATGAATGTTATGTCCAATTATTCTGGACGATATTTTAAATTAACTATTGCATAAATGATAATTTCAAATTGTAAAGATACTTTTTCTGAATGTATCTCTTAATCTCATAAGTAGCTCTTACAACTTTTTGTATTCTCTTATAATTAGTATCCCGTAATGCGGGATATGTACGCAAATATATATATAAATTATAGTAAAATGTTGGATGTGATAATCTAATCAATATTGTTGTATTAACTATTTTCACGGACTTTAGTAAACAGTTAGTAACAAAGTCTATATCTTTTGGTACTTTGATAAATTTCTATTTATATAGTATTAATATTACTGAAACGCACCATTTGATGTTAATGGTTACTTTACGTTTGCTGTAGTATATTGGAAATGATTTCCTCTCTCTCTCTCTCTCTCTCTCTCTCTCTCGCTCGCTCTCTCTCTCTCTCTCTCTCTCTCTCTTTCGCTCTCTGTCTTATGGATCATAATGATCATTATCAGTTTTGTTACAGAGCCTCTACATGATAAATAAAAATGACAATACAAAGCAAACGTACATCTTGGTATGTGGCTAACTGATGAAAAATAAATATTTGCTCATAATTTATGATTACTGGTCAACCATGTAAGGCCTTCATAAAGCCCATCTCCAGTTGTGGCACATGATGGCTGCACATACCAATTTCTATCTCGTATCCTAGTTAAACCCAGTTTTTCTTGTATTTCATGTGGTTTCATTGCTGAAAAAATAAATAAAAAATTATTTATATAAGACAAATATACGATTACCAAAGATTTATGAGATACATTGATTTATACCATCTGGAAGATCTTGTTTATTTGCAAAGATTAAAATAATGGCATCTCGCATTTCTCTATCATTTATAATTCGATGAAGCTCCTGACGGGCTTCATCTATTCGATCTCTGTCAGCACAATCTACTACGAAAATAAGTCCTTGTGTTCCAGTATAATAATGACGCCAAAGTGGACGTATTTTATCTTGTCCACCAACATCCTACAATGAAATTATTATCCTTAGTGAGTTGAACATTTTCCAAGCTATATTTAGAAGATTTATAATTACTATTACTTACCCAAACATTGAACTTAACATTTTTATAGGTAACTGTCTCTACATTGAATCCTACAGTTGGTATAGTTGTTACAGACTGTCCTAGTTTAAGTTTATATAGTATCGCTGATATGTAATTAAGGAAATGTTACAATAAAACATGATTCAAAACATTCTTTAGTCTTTTGCAAGGATTTTATTATAGAGTTTCATGTAAAAGAAAGAAACAGATGTGTGTGTGTGTGTGTGTGTATGCGTGTGTGTATGCGTATATCTATGTAAGAAGGATACTAGTTTTCCCAGCAGCATCCAATCCTAGCATAAGGATTCGCATCTCCTTGTTGCCAAAGATCTTTGACAACAACTTGCCCATCTTGCCAGCTGCTTTCTAGGCACCTGGCACCTAAAGTTCAGAAAGTTTACCTTTAAAAAAAGTCATTTTAACACATAAAAAAGTTTTATATGAACAGTTCTAAAAAGTTTAAAAAATATAGTGCTCTTTCCATTACTTCACTAACATCTCGCTTCTTTTATGAAATTTTCGTGGGAACTATAATATACTATGAATGAAAAACTTCCACAAATATCTAACCTCTATTTAAAATTGATTATTTCAAATGAAATATAATATTTCCACAAATAATACGATTTATATGTTGCCAAAATAAGAAAGCTCAAGGACGTTCTTCCTAACCTATCAAATGCCGTAAATAGAATAAAAATAGACAGATATTAGAAAAATACTAGCGAATAAATAAATTCACGGTATGTTCGAGATCTGAATGAATCTGTAGTTAAACTTTGCTCATTTATGTAAAAAACTAAATATTCATGTAATGTAATGTCCAATAGTTGTCACGATAAATAGTCTAATTGGTATTGTGTCTTACATGACAATTGATGACGAATTTTTTTAAAAGAAATCCTTCGAGTCAGCAATACGAGAAGAGTGTAACTTGAAGCAAGCATAAATGTAACTCACCGAAATACATTTACAAAGGGCGAGTACTTTATCATGAACGCGCAGACATATCACATCACTAGACATAACTTATTTATATTACAGCTGTAATATAGCAGCATTACCGAAAACGTTATTTAGGCAGGTACAGCATGATGTCTCTTCATAAGTCACAAGCAAACACGCATGTAACTTAAATGAAATATTGAGATCAGTTCGGTATGCATCGAGTAATGACAGGGAATTTGAAGCGCCACCGTATGTTACCATCTATTACTAATACCCAATTGGCAATACATTTGAAAATTGTATTCATACATAAAATATGTAAGGGAAACTATTTTAAATCTCAATTTTGAAGTAATTTGAAATTTTCCAGTATTATGAAAATTTGAATCACTTTGAACACGATTCAATATTTAAAACGTTGACTGCCACACAAATTTTATATGCTTTATTTGTAACAAAATTGAAATATATTCACCACAATATATAATTTTTGCCAATATTGTACCGTATTTGCGTGCTTTTTTCTAACAATGTTATCTACATATGTCATTTACATTGTACACAACTTTTTAAGAAATTTATTTTATTTTAAAAAATTTGGTACCTCGGGTCATTGATGACCACCGTGTTAGTTAACATGTTAAAATTTTGTAACGTGTTAAAGTTTTGATAAATCTTGAAGACTTGATATTTTTCATAATCTTTATGAAGCTTTCGGGATTTTAAAGTTCATCAGACTTATCGAAACTTCACTGATCCGTACACCTTTATATACATAGTATACTGAACATAATTTGGTACTTTTATTAACCTTTCGAGTGCTTACTAAAATAATCCAAAGTGGTTAAAAATGTAATACATGTATATATTCTCTTTTCTTCATTATATAAATTGTTTATCCTTAAATTACCGACTGTTGCAAATAATATGAAAATCATTGATTAATACTACTCGTCTGTATACTCGTCTGTGATGAAAATACATGTGTTACTTACGTCCTTTTACATCTTCCTAGTAAATCGTAAAAATTTTAGGAATCTGTTTGTTAAGATATGTTTTGATATATTTTTACATAACTCAGTGCACTTTTAGACAATTCAAGTATTTTCAATTTTTATGTACGCATGCGCACGCCGATAATTGACTGATTAACAACAAAAAATCTCACGTGTCACGATAAATTTTCATTACATTCTTTTTATTCGTTATCTTTCAGCTCGCGATATATAAAAGATCGCGAGATATAAACAATTATGTGTATGAAAAATGTATATATTTTTCATAGTTCGATATTAATCAATATTGTATATATATACATATCTTTTATTAAATAAAAGAAATTTCAGGATTGAATATCATTCAATAAATCATCAGATCTAATCATCAGAAGTGATTATAATCCTGTATCTTTCCTTCGTATTTTTCCTTTATTTCCATTTTCCATAAAAACTTTTTTTCATAAGATCTACGAATTTTTAGTTCTTTTAATCCTTTCACAGCTCAGTGAGAATTATTTTGCAATATAAAAACATACTACTATTTCTGTTCTCCATTATCTGCATATATGTACATACGTAGGCAAATATAGAAAATTAACTTTAATCAAATATTAATTTAATATTAGAGTGACTAAGGTATAAAAATTGTGCTAAATATATTACAAATTACGAATTACATTTTGATTCAATATATATATATATATATATAGGTATTGGTATATGTATAATAGTAAGTATGGTAGTAATAAAACATACTTAATATGGACAGTAGGAAAGAACTATAATATCCACTATCTCTATTTGGAAAGAACGGTACAGAAATAATAAATTAATTTGACTAAAATAAACGTTGGTTTTATTAATATACTTCGTATGAAGATTCTTTAAAGAACTTTCAGTTATATTCACAAAAAGGTTAATCACGTGTGACCTATAACAGTTTAGTTAACATAAGACTCGAGTCGGTAGTCGATACTCGGTACCGGTGAACCAGCGTGCCGTACGAAAAGGTTACAGTCTCTGAGCGTTCGGTCGATTCTTGACCGGTGAAAGAAATATAAAAAAAAGAATATGATCTTTCACGGTCGGCATTCGTCCGTGGAAACAAAATATGCTGGAAAAGGAAAGGGGAATAGTTGGAGAAGCTGGAAGGGCGAGAGGGGCCGATAAGAGAAATCGAGCTGAACGTGCTACGTGGAATCGTGAAAGTAAAGGCGTATCCCGCTTTACCTATGAGTTGGGATAGGTTACAGGTCGCGGTCAAATACCTGTTGCTCGACTCGTTGTCTATTTATTTTCATCTATTTACTTAAGGTCAGGTTCGGACAGAGAGATACAGTGCAAGCAGCTATCTTTCAATTTATCTACTATTATCTACTGATAAGAGTATTTTAAATAACGCGATTGATATCAGCTGCTCTTGTTGCATACGCGGCTGTCAAACGAAGAAGTGGACCTCATGAACATGGAGTCTCTTAAGAAAAAGCTGATAGAATACAATCAGGAACATCTGTTAAAATTTTGGGACCAATTGTCAGATAAAGAGAGAGAGAATCTTTATCAAGATATATCTGAATTAGACCTGGCAGATGTGACATCATATTTTGTCAATGCAGTACATGCATCGAGTAGTATGCAGAATATGTTGGATGACAAGGTGACTCCGATTCCTAAAGAAAATATTGCGTCATTGAAAATCACAGATAAAGAGCAATTAAGAGTGTATGAAAAATTGGGACTGCAAGAGATAGCAGATGGAAAAGTAGCTGTATTGTTAATGGCTGGTGGCCAGGGTACTAGGCTAGGTGTATCTTATCCTAAGGGTATGTACAATGTGGGTCTACCTTCTGGAAAATCTCTCTTCCAACTGCAGGCAGAAAGAATACTTCGTTTACAAAATATGGCAAAAAAAGAATGTGGGAAAGATGGAGAAATTAAATGGTACATATGTTTCCTTCATATGAATCAAATAATTTATAATATGTGAAAGTTTGTACTTTAAATAAACTAATATTTGCCTTTATTTCTAGGTACATATTAACTAGTGAAGCTACTCATGAAACAACTGTATCTTTTCTACAAAAACATAACTATTTTGATCTGAAAGAAAAGAATGTTAAAGCCTTTAAACAAGGTATGCTTCCATGTTTTACACTGGATGGAAAAATCATTTTGGATAAAAAATATAAAATTTCAAAGGCACCAGATGGAAATGGAGGATTGTATCGAGCTCTAAAGGTGCAAGGAATATTAGATGATATGAAACATCATGGAATTCACAGTGTTCATGTTCATTCGGTTGATAATATCTTAATAAAAGTGGCAGACCCCATTTTTATAGGATACTGCTTATCTTCATGCACTGATTGTGGAGTTAAAGTTATAGAAAAATCTTCTCCGAATGAGTCAGTAGGAGTTGTGTGTAAAGTACGTTTATAAGATATTTCAATCATTTATGACATCAGTTTTATTTAATTACTTTTTATCATCTTTATTGTAGGTCGATGGTATCTACAAAGTCGTAGAGTATAGTGAAATTTCAAAAGAGACTGCTGAATTGCGTTCGGATGACGGACAATTAATATATAATGCAGCAAATATATGTAATCACTATTTCACCGTAGATTTTCTACATAATGTTGCTATAAATCACGAAAAGGAAATGGAACTTCATGCTGCTAAAAAAAAAATTCCGTATATCGACGCAAATGGAAATCGAATTGAACCCAAATCTCCGAACGGTTTTAAAATCGAAAAATTCGTATTTGATGTATTCGAATTCGCGAAACAATTATCAGTTTGGGAGGGAATTCGCGAAGAAGATTTTAGTCCTCTAAAAAATGCGGATTCTGTTGGCCAAGATTGTCCAAGTACCGCGCGAAACGATGTACTTAAAATACATAAAAAGTGGCTGCTAAATGCTGGAGCTACATCTGTAGCAAATGATGTAGAAATATCTCCTCTATTATCTTATGCGGGAGAAAATTTAAATCACATGATGGGGCTATCATTAGAAGGACCGTGTGTATTGGAATAACAAAATTCAATATGTACTGCTTTTGTACCTTTTTACAATACTGTTCTTGTTAAGAGTCTTTAAACTATCATAAGAATGTATTCTGTGATTTAATGATAAAATTTAGCAATAAAAATTGTCGACATTCTTATATAAATTTTATAACAGTAAAATACGAAGTATTACGTACACATGCATAAGCTTCTATAATAAAAAGAAAACGAAATATATCTTGCGAGCGAGTATGTTCACGTATGTAGATATTAAAAAAATTTACAGACTTAATTATTATATTAATTTATCTGAATCATGTAATTATAAAATATGCATCATAAAATTATAAAAATTAATGTAATGTGATGAAAGTGTAACAAAATTCATGTATTTTGGCATTATGCATTTATATCAATTTTGTACGATTGGTATAAATATAATAAAAGAATAGGAGCATAATAGTAATATAAGTTTTATATATTTATATATAATCTATGTAAAAATATAATTTATAAATAAAATTTATATATATTACACAAATTATGGCTTTTCAAATGTCATTTAATATCTGAATCTTGCTGATATGTCTTGCTTATGTATATTTATGTTTATTTCGGATCCTTTGGAACATGAAATATTTTATTTAAACAGAAATACATATATTTTCTTAAATATATAGGATGGGAGTCCAAAATGTAAAATTATTTTGAAAAAGAATACATAAAAATTATAAATAATTGATACTCTATTATTATTCTTCCCTAACCTAATATGTATACGTATATATATGCATACATATAAGTTGGTATTCTCGTCGTTAGTCACATTTGAATTTGAATCGTTTGAAATAACAGTTAAAACGTACAACTAATGCCACAAAGCGCTAAAAGGTAAAGAAATTATCATGTTTAAAGTGATTTATGTGTATTAACATGGACGAAATTTTTCAAATTTTACACGAATGTCATTTAAATGATGACAAGTGTGAAAAAACATCGGATATTAAAGAAACTAATTTCATAGAAGATGTAAAAAGGAATATCGAAAAATTATTCGCAGAGGTACAATGTAACATAGGAAGTGTCGAATATGCAAATCTCAACAAAATGTTGGCACTTTGTCATTTAAAGGTATTATATTGATTTCATTTATAATTATAAATAGAATAAATATAATTATTCAATAAAATAAAAATTAAGTAATTATTGATTAACAATTTAACAAAGTCACATAAACAATATAGAATTAAGTATTTTTTGATAAATTTATAAATACTGTTTGTAGATTGGTAATGAGTTTGAAGCTATATTTCATTTAATTGAGTCACATGCAGTGATACTTCGTCAACAAATATTGCATAGAAGTGTGAAAACAGAAATGCGTGAATCAATCTTAAATACACAACAATCTTCCGGACTTAAAGCTTCTTATGTTGGATTTAATATAAATGACACAAATAGAGTTGATAATTTAAAGGCAAAACTTTTTGATCTGCCCAAAGGTAAGAAAATAAAATATTTAAATATTATTGAATGTATTAAAGCTGTTATAAATCTTTCTTTTTTATATAGAATGGTATATGATTCAAGTCACTGGACAGTATAGGTCTCCAGGAGATATATTTAAACATAATAGAACTAAACTACATGCAATGCATGAAATGCATATTACCATATTGCCAACAGGGACCAAAGAAACAGAACCCTTCTGTATAACATTACCAAAACCAAAGTTAGATTCTTCGTACGATATCTGTTATGAAATTCAGAAATTACTTTCTAATAATAGGTCAGAATTAGAAGCTACTTATGCGAATAATGAATTATATTGGAAAATGAGAGAAAGGCAAAATATAAGTATGAAGGTATTTATATAATAAACATAATTTTGATAAATTTAATAACTTTTCTCTATATATATGTATATATCTACATATATGCCTACATATATGTAGACTGCTATCCAAGCATTAGAGTATACATGGTTACGAGAGTGGAGAATCTTATTTATAGCAGATCCAATAAATAAACCTGACATAGTAGCAGCTACTGTACAAATGATTGACAAACTAATATCTGATAATAAAAATTCGTAAGTAAAGAATAAATTAATAATTAAACAATTTTTTGACATACATGTATTTAATTGTATTATGCATTATAGAAAAAAGATAACAGAAAGATCTAAGTGGTTGTTAAGAAAAGTAGCATTATCAGCATGCTTTCTCACAAGAGAAGAAATAGCACGTGCGGTAAAATATGTACTTCCTGATTATAATAAGTTGGCAGATAACATAATACTGTCCATATTTGGGAAACTACCTTGTATAGAAGAATTAAAAAATGCAATTAGGAAAACATTAATTTTAGTCATTGATGAAGTAAGTTTGAAGCATGCCCATTGTAAAATGTGAAATAAAGTTCGTGATTTGGTAATATTATATAACATTTTACAGCATATGGATTATATACCTTTTGAATCTATGGAAATTTTAAAATGTCATCCTGTTACTCGTTTTCCATCACTGCACATTGCATATGCTTTATTTAAAGAGCATGAAAGTACAATGGAGAATGGCTGTAAAATAATTTATACAAAAAATGATATGGGTACATGTATAGTCAATCCTTCTGGTAACTTGACTAAAATGGAAAAACGCATGAGGTTGTTCATTGAATATTGGTTACCAGATTGGAAAAGTTGGTATAATGTTGAGCCACAAGAAGGAATTTTTGAAGATGCACTAGTTAACCGTGATATATTAATGTAATGTTTATTTTAAATATTATCTTATCTTTTTAACTTTCATAATTTATTATTTTTCATAGGTATAATGGTCATGGCAATGGAATACAATACTTGCCAGGAGAACGCATAGAAAGACTCAGAGTAAGATCAATTGTTTTATTATTTGGTTGTAGTAGTGTAAAATTACTTACAGTAGGAGGACGTTACCCACCATATGGAATCCCAAATCAGTATTTAATAGCTAGCAGGTAAAAATAAATTTTTTTATAACTTTAGTTATTTATGTATTACTTGGCATTTTATATTATATTGTTAGCCCTTGTGTGCTCGGTATGTTGTGGGAAGTTACGGACGCTGATACTGATAAAATGACAACGAATTTCATTAGTAATTGGATTCCATCTCCATTAAATAGACCATGGGCTGATGTTGATATTAATATGTGGTGTGCGGGTACACTAAGTTAGTATAAAAAATTATAAAGTATCTTGTTAATCTTTTTATTTTTTAAGTTTATGATTTTATAATTTATTTTTTTCTTAATTTTTGATAATTAGAATTTCTAAAAAATCGTAAAAGCTCCCAAAATGTGTCTACAGAATCTGAAATGTTAAGAGCAATAGCAAAATCTAAAGACATCTGTTCTCAATATATGACCGCGGCTGCAATAGTAGTACGAGGACTACCGGTAAAGCTCATTTAAATTGTAAATATAAAAAACGATACAAACAAATATATACTAAACATCAATTTATATGTAATTAAAAAAGCTAGTAAAAATTTTATTTATAAAATGTTTCGTAGTTTGGTCGTTCATTATACTCAGTGTGTATTTTTAAAGTACTGTTCTTGGTCACATGATTATTTGTGGTTCCGGTACAGAACTGGAAATGTTCTTGTGAGGTAAAACTTGACCCCCATTGATATATAATTCATCCTTAACAATTACATCTTCACCAAGTACTGTAGTACCTTCCATTCGCACCCAACGTCCGACAACGCTTCTCCAGCCAACAATGCACCTGTGATGACATCACTTTGCATTATAAGCACACACAAATACACTATCTATATACATTATAAATTGCTTTAACATTTACCCATCCAACCATGCGTGTTCTTTTATTACAGCTGCTTTAAGAATAGTGCTTCTTTTAATGCAACAGCCATCAGATAAAATAACACCAGGGCCAATTGTAACATTTGGTCCTATCCTACAATCTTTCCCAATCTTTGCTGTTTCATCTATTAACACATTTCCTACTACTCCTGGACCAGAATATAATTTTTCTGGAGATTTTTGTCTTAGAGATGTCAGGTACATGCTCATTCCTTTGAGAAAATCTTTTGGTTGTCCAACATCCATCCAAAATCCTGTTAGTTCCATTGCATATAATTCTCCGTCCCGAGCCATATGTGGAAAAATTTCTTTTTCTATACTTGTAGGTTTCAATTCTATTCTTTTTAAGACACTTGGATTAAAAATGTACATGCCTATAAAATTACAGTAATTAATACCACCAAACATTCAGAAACTAATATATCTGAATTCAGTGTTAAAAATATAATACCTGCATTAATTTTATTAGAAATAAATTCCTGCGGCTTTTCTACAAAGCTTTCTATTTTTCCATCATCTTCATAGACTACTACACCATATTTTGATGGTTCTTCTACTTTAGTAACGATTATGGTACCCTCTCTACCATGATTTTTATGGAACTCCAAAAGTTGCATAAATGGAAAATCACAAATGATATCAGAATTTAAAACAAAGAATGGTTCATCTCCTGTACATAACAGATCATGTACCAGTGCGAGAGGGCCTGCAGTGCCAAGTGGTTCTGGTTCATGTGAAAAGATCAAATGTACCCCTAACTTTTTAACTTCTTCGCTCAAATCTCTTTCCATCTCTTCTGCACGATAAGAGACTGCTAATATTACCTCTGTCACATTTGTTGCTACCTAAATGTAATTTTGCAGTCAATTTACAAAAAGTTAAAGTATCACAGAGATATCGCTACATACCAGAGCTTCTATTTGATGTAGAAGCATTGGTTTATTAGCAAATTCAACCAATGGTTTTGGCCGACTTAATGTAAGAGGTCTCAATCTGGTTCCATAGCCACCAACAAGTATTACAGCTCTCATTGTTCCTAGCTTCTTTCTTTTACGTTGCATCACTCATCAATAATCCTAATTAAAATGTGTTCATAGTAAAACACATTTGGAAGCAGATTTTATTCTGAAAAGATATTAGAAATGAAGATTAAAAATGTATATATTCTTTAATTGTATACAGATTCAGAATTATGTATGAAGATAAATATTTAAATGAAATATATCCAATTTGATTAAAAAAAACTGTATTTGTAATATATCTTTATTCACTAATTGACTAATAATATAATAAAATGTATAAAAGTGTAATTGAAAATAAAATGTGCTAAAAATTTAATTATGCGTTTGCAAAGTATTTGTTATACACAAATACATTTTTTTTGTAGAGGTGAAAAGAATATTAATGAAAGGTATACCTCATGCTTACATATCGATACGAGCACAGGCAGAAAACAATCATTACTGATGAATATTGCCACGTAGGATTGAAATACCACGTAGACGTATGTACATAGCGACACATGTATGCGATAAGAATACACACATAATTTTTAATACTAATATAATCAAATGCTATTAATCGATTTATATTTTACATTTACGATATTACTCTTATCGGAATTTCTATCATTCATATTGGCTTAACTTCTTTTTTAATTAACATTACACTACGTAATGCTTATCATCCGTAATAAACTACAATAGCGCCATTACTATTACTTATTTGTCACTTGCACACGTAATATTTGTACAAATACACTTTACTTGTCGAGTTCATTTTTTGAATATTTTTTATTGAAACTGTTTCACATAAACTTTTTTAATAATTTTAACAATCTTCATTTTTTTAAAAGTACGGAAGAGTTAAAATCGTTACAATTGTTGTAAAAGTGAAGAACACTTAATTACTTTTAATTTGTGGAAATATAATTAAATAATTTTAATTGATATTTTTATCCTTGAAATCAATTTTTTATACAGATTAGTAACAAAAAGTAATATGGTATCAAATACGTTTCTTGTCGCGGATAATTATTGTTGAATTATTTGAGTGTTAAAACTTGAACGAATTACATTTAAAGAAGACGAAAATCTTGGTTTCGAAAAATTGGAAATCGAAAAATTTGGTTTTTAATACACAAAATTAAGAATGAATAAACCAGCGAAAGACAACCGCATCTAAATTCCTTACGTATAGTATATTATTCTATGCGCTTGCGTCAAAGTAAATATCTTTTATATAGAAACAGAATAAAAACAGGTAATTGTATTATGACTATTTATGACTGATTTTTATCTTTCTTGTTATAAATTTCAGTAAGAGAATTGATAAAAAAATAAGTGTGCAATATTACGCAAAGACATTACTCGTTTATTCTCTGTTTACTACATCCTAATATTTTTTGCTATTGCGACTTTTTTTTAAATGTAGGTATAAGCACGCAGTAAGATAGTAATCTTATTTAGCAATTTGAACAATTAATATCCGTTGAAATATTTGGATATGAATAGAAGTTATTTATTAAATATAAATGAACATTTGATACATAAGTATAAGAATTAAATACGAGCGCAATTTCATTCGATATTTTGGTGTATATAAGTGGAGGTGAATTTTCAATAGAAGTATAGAGGCGTAAATTGGTTAGAAAGAAATCGTCGAACGGAGCGACCACCAGGTCTCGAGAAGAGTCGCCGATTGTAAATGAGAGTTGAAACGGGCGCGAATGATTGACGGTATAGCCGCAAGATGGCGTAATACATGCGACGCTGCTTTTGACGTTCGTGTATGAGTTTTTTTTTGGTTCCTTCTACTTTGAAAACGGCAGGAAGCAAAAATTGTTAGTTCGGTGTTTAGTCTTCGCTAGTCTGACTGAGGATGTGGTGGAAAGAGTTGAGTACGATAGGAGATATTCAACGGAATAGGATTTCGATTTCGAGTACATAGTACGCGAGACACACGAGGTCCCGCGATTGGCCAGTTTATGAGACGACGATGGCTCCGTGAGGAGAGAACATGGCTGCGACGCAAGCCGAGAGCCAACAAAACGATGTGAAGCTGAACGAGTCCGTGAAATGTGCACAGAAACGTCCGCAAGTAGGTGGGAATAGTGCAAGTGTTAATACGAAGCAGCAGCTGGATCCAGAGCCGGGTGATAAAGTGTCCCGGGGCGCGGCCCAGCTGCTTAAATATGTGAATCGCGGCGGGGACACGGGTTTCGAGATGAGTCAATACCGCGAGGACATTGGTGGACACACTGCCGGTGAAGTCAAATCACCAAGGGAGGCTGGACAAGCTCCTCAAGAATCTATCGGCAAACAAGAGCCTCTCGATACGCCCGGGCATCCAAACCATCCCGGACATCCGTTCACGTCGAACGTAATACGCGATTATCCGGAGGAGTATACCAACAAATCAAACGAATTTCCCTCCAAATCATTGACCGATTATCCAGCGAAGCAGGTACCAGAGTACATGGGAAAGCATGGAGACTTTCCAGGGAAACAGTTGGATTATCATGGTAAACACTTAATACATGAAAGTGAAAGAGTTCATCGGGTCGAAATGGAAGAGCATTATGCAGCTTCCAAGATTGAATCACGATTGGCATATGTAGGGGCTACGCCAACCAGTTTTCCGGGTCAACCAAGGTTTTTATCAGGGCAAAGTATATCACAAGCCACCGGTCCAACACCAACGTTAAATCAGTTACTCCAAGCATCTACGCCTGTTCACCGTTTTCATGGAAATTATCCTGGAATGGGGCCAGAGCCTTATCAACAACCATGGCCCATCCAACGACCCCCAGTTGTCCCTCCAGTTTATCCACAACCTGGCCAACGTCCTCCACAGACGGTAAGTATAACAACCTAAATCTATCTATAACTGTATACAAAGTACATTTTATGTTTTCGTTACTTTTGTAGCTATAAATTGTCATTTGTAATAATTTATGTACACCTTATTCTTTATAAAATGTATTATTAATTCTTGTTTTAATAATTGAGTAATTAAATATATTATAAAATACATAGGGGTCACCAAGATTGCATGCAGGACCTGGAGGACCAAGTTCCCCAACTCCTATGCCATATCAACAATATACACAACGTTATTCTTCTCCTACAAGACCTCATGCACCATACAGCCACCATCAGGTATTTATAATAATGATTACAAAGTTTATTCAATAAAATAGTTACTCTTATTAATTAACTTTTTATATTTTTTTAGCTAAACTCATATACTACGCAAACTAGCCATCCTTCCAGTTTATACACAGAACAGAGAGGTTGGAATCAAGGTGGACCACCAAATCCACCACCACCTTCAGCCAATCAGACCAATCCTTCCAGCCAATCACCACAGCGTGCTCTTTCTCAATCCCCAGCACCACCACCTTCTGCATCTCCACAACCACAGTCAACTAGCCAATCTCAAGTAAGTTATACAAATAACAAAAACCTTTTTGTATTTTTGATGTAATAATATGATGTAATAATATAAGAATTTCTATTGGCTGTACATGTAAACAAGAATATCAAAGTTTGTCATTTGTCTTAATGTATTAGCAAAAAAGTATCTTATTTGCATCTAAATTCTTTTAAAAAATTGCAAAGTATCAAGGTAAACAGTTGAAAGTAAGAAAATGAACTTTTTCATCAGTATATTTTTAGTTGTATGTATGGATATGTGATTTATAATAAATTCTATTTCTGTTTACAGAGTTTCCATAACTTACAGCAACGATCAACAACACCAAATACTCAAGGAATAGATTCAGGGGTGAGTACAATTAAATTTCGCAACAATAATATATATATATATATACTCAAAAAAGTACCTTGATAATGTGTCTCAAAATTATCCAAGGTTATCAATAACCATAACGTATCATATAAGATTCTCTTTTAAAAATATTCAAATAACCCAGAAGAAAAGCAGAAAGGTGCGAAATTCTCAATAAAACGTTTTCATGTTTCGCGATTGAAGCGTCAGACGGTGATTTATTTTGATCTTAATTAGAAAGCACATGCGCGCATGGATGCACGTGTATGCACGTGTTATTGTTATTTCATGTTTGTGTTACGATTGGTTCTCGACTTGGGCCACGTTTAAAAACGAACGGTTTAACAATAAAAGCATCAGTGGCTCTTACGTGGTCGGTCACGATAACTGGCATTGCAAAGCGAATTCTAATTTCACGTTGCATAAAGTGCCATTTGATCTTGGATACAGTGGACGGGAGTACTTCAATACTTCTCTCGTGAAAAGAGCAAGCATGAGTGAGCGAAAGGGAGACCTCTCGAGTATGGGTTGCCTATCTGTAGGAGGGGCAGGGTGTGGAAAGTGGGGATGGAGAATAAGCGACTTGTAGAGTTCGATTAGGGCGCGAGTTGCGCGGCCGCTGGAGCCCCAGATATTAGTGACTTCCCCTTCCCGCCTTCTCCCTCTTCCTCTTTCCTTCCTTCTCTCTCTCTCTCTCTCTCTCTCTCGCTCGCTCGCTCGTTTGCTCTTTCCCACTGTGTTCGTCTCGCTATCCCTTTTCAAACATATACTCTCGTATGTATGTGCAAACACGTATATCCCTCTTTGTCCTATATCGGGTCTCTCACTTCTTTCAATATAGATGAGCGGTCTAGTGGGAGAAGCATGAGTGTTACACAGGTTACCTGAGTATAGAGAAGCAAGCGAGAGCGAGTGTGTGATTCGCTCGAATCGCTGGCGGGG